TTACCAAAATGGGAATGAATTATATGTCGGAACATTGAAGGATACAGAGAAGATCAGCATGGCCCTGCTGAAGAACAATGACTCCTGGCAAAAGAGTCATTCACGGCTCTCTCACTACGAGCCTGCCATCCGTGCCTTTGCCTACTCCTTGGCAAGAGCACCCACCCTATGGGAAAAAAGAAAACGTAGGACGTAAAAAGGAAGAAGGGGGGGGGGACAAGGGAGGAAAAAAACGACATAATCAGCACGGAAGTACCGGTCGCCAGCATTAAAGGACCGGTTGGCCCCATATCACGACCACTTACAATATGCATTCCCATAAGACAAAGACGTTCGGTAGCTTGCCAACAACAAGGTTTGGGAAGGCTGCTTTGGGGGTACTGGTGGTTTAACCGTTGGGTCAAGATCCTTTGTTTTGAGGTGTAAGTTGTATCCCACTTTGACTGTGTATTCCTGGATGGGTACATTCGTTTTGAGACTTCTGCTTCTGTTTGGTGTTCGTGCCCACACTGCTGGATCAAATTCAAGTTTTGAATCGCTGTATCTATTATGGAGATTGTTTTTGGCCATGATCCCAACAATCTTACTTTTCTGAGAACAAAGGGTTTAGGACTATTATTTCCACCTCCTTATTCAGGATAGATGGGAGACCTTGCGTGAAGGGGGTAATTGGGAACAGGCAGGGTATCAGACCCCTGTTGTTTGTGGAAAATTTGATAGACCCTTGAGGGGGGTAGATTATGCACCCTCACTCCCCATTCACCCAATTTCCAGGTTGACGCTTCGCTCAACAACTCCTTCCAGCCTTCAGGGATGCAGTTAATAATGGATTGTAGATTCTCGCCTCGTCGGTGACATCCTTTGAGCTAGGAGTCAAGTTCCTGTTTTGTCACCCAGTCCTTTTTCTCCTCGTTCCAAAGATGACTCACTTTCCAAGCTCCGTGTTTGATCCACGATAGCCATCTCCTTCCTCTAGGGTTAAGGGATAGCTGGTGATCACTTTCGTCTCTCGCCCACAGATTACCAAACAGGGGTTGCCTCAAGATCTCATCCTTGGATTTGGGTCTACCCACCTTCTTCGACATGACTTCCCACCATATCTGTAGCAATGCGGTCCAATATGGTGTGGGAGGCCTGGCTTCGTTCGGACCGCTTCCTCTTCGTTGATTTTTGCCCCCTGTACTTGGACTCCAATCCTTGGTCATTACCCAGAACAAACCGGACATGTTTGCTGGTGAGGTTGTCGGTGTTAGGGTTCTTATGCTATCCAAGGCCAGTTTATTCCATGCAGTACCAGGTTTAGTCAGTAGTTTGACTATCCATTTAACTTGTAGGGCTTTGGTTTCCTGTTTGAGGTCTATGATACCAAGGCCTCCTCTGGCTGGTTTCCTTGTGATGTAATGTCAAGCTATCTTTGGTATACAGTTCTCTTTGTTGGGGTCCCCCGACCACAAGTACACTCTTGCTTTGCAGTCAAGTTCCTTGATTGTATGGTCCGAAACTGTCTAGATTGACCCTATATACCACATCATTGGAAAAATAGATGTGTTAATGGCTAGGGCTCGGCCCAACAATGATGTGAATGTGCTACCCGATCTGCCCAATTTGTTAATTTGTTTGACGAATATATTTTGGGCCATATGAGGGGCGAAGCCGTCGTTTGTCGACAGGATGCCGAGATACCGCGTAGGGGTCTCCGGTGTCTCCCATGTCATGTCTGCCTCGAGGCCTTGAAGTTGGGGAACTTCCTCCTCCAATAACCACCAGCCAATTTTCTTTTTCCAATTAATTTTCATTTTTGATGTCAGTTTGAACGCTTCCATTGCTCTTACTAACGCGTTGAACGACGAGTCTGAAGCTCTTATGAGGACCGTGAGATCATTTGCAAACATTATTACTGTCGGGAACTGTAGGTAGTGGGTTGTTCCTAGATTGACCTCTAGTAGCTTATGTATGGAGTCTTTGCGTAGAAATGAGGTCATTGCTTCCATCACGAAGAGGAAGATCGAAGGGGGCTAGTGGGTCTCCTTGGCGAATTGACTGAGAGACTGGATAGCAGTCGAAGAGCAAGCCATTGACTTGGATGCACCCTATGGCATCGTTATACAGCATGCGCACCCACTTCCTAAAATTTGAGCCCACTCCCATCTTTTTCTCCCATCTTTTTCATGCTTGCGTTGAGAAAGGCCCAGTTGACCTGGTCGTAGGCCTTTTCAAAATCGAAAAAACGAATTGTTGTGCTTATATTTCTCCGGCTTTGCTGGCCGCTTCGTTGAGGGTCATACGTTGTCCATGATGTATCTCCCAAGGATGAAGCTTGTTTGGTCTATATGAAAGCATTTGTCTGTCACGTCTAGGATTCGAAAGGCAAAAGTTTTAGCTAGTATCTTATAGGGAAGGATTAGTAGCGAGATGGGTCTGTAGTTCCTGATATCTTCTTCTCCCTTTTTTTGTACAACAAAGTGACCACGCTGCTACTCAATAAGTTTCCAAGTCCCCCCTTGAGCCAGCTGTCGTTGTAGAACTTCAGCATATCGCCCCTAAGGGCGGCCATAATTTGTCCTATAATTCTTTTGTCAGCCCCTCAATTCCTGGTGACTTGTAATTGTTCATACTTTGGACAACAAATCGCAGTTCTTCCATGGTGATGGGCTTGTCCAGAGCTACTGCTTCTTCTTGAGATATCATTTGTTTCAAGTATTGTAGTATCCTCGTTCATGCCTCTCTGATGCTGGGCGAAATAGGCATAGGGATCTTTGTGTCATAGAGCTCATCATAGACTCACCATTCCTTCAGAGTCTGTCACCATTTCAATTGGGTTTGAGAGGGTTTTCAGCTTCCTATCGCATTGGCCCTTGAGTTTGCTTTGATTCTTGCGAAGAAGTGTTTTGACATTGACTCACTTAGCTCGTATTCGTTCATTCTGGCTCTTATTTGTAGTCCCTGTAATTCCCATCATCTCCACATAGTGAGTTTTTCTCTTGCCTTTTCGAAAATATTTGTGTAAAGTGTAGAAGAGGGGTTATCAATCAGATTTTGTCTCTGCGATCTTCAGGGTTGTCTCCAACGCTTGCTTCCTCTGTTTCTTGTCGGTCACCAATTTCCTTGAGATTCTAGCAACCATCTGTGATAATTTCCTGAAATCACTCCCACGGATCTTGTATGGGTAGGTAGGCACCCCTCAAATTCTGCCAACACTCCTGAAATCCTGCCTGACATACTTTCCGAAGCTGATTATGAGTTCGATGGGTTTGTGGTCCAGACCCGGGCCGGGTACCGTGCGAGGGGCAGGATCTCAAGGCTTTTAGTTGTCCCCATTAGTGTCCCTGACATCAAGAAGTAGTCAATGAAGGAGAACGCGGCATGGTGGGCATGGTTGTTTTCAACCAATGGGAAGGCTCTTGACCCGGGATGCAAAGTACGGTATGGTTCGCCTAGATTGTAGTCATCATCAACTTTTGGCTGGGCACCTACTCCTGTGCAAGTCGAGGACCTAGATAGGTTTTCAAATTTGAAAATTTGAAAATTTGAAAATTTGCAAATTTGCACTTATCCAGGGCATGCCTCGTGACTTTGGTAGGGGCATATAAGGACACAGGAAACCGCATGGTCTGATGTCTGGACCATGTCCCTGGTTTGATGGGTTTTAGTATTTTCTCTTTGCCGACCATATTATTTGCAGGCATCTCAGCAATCCCACGAAGTCTTGATCCATACCATGAAGAAGGAGATCCTAAGATAACGCCTGCATTGCTCTCTCTCTCTCTCTCTCTCTCTCTCTCTCTCTCTCTCTCTCTCTCTCTCTCTCTCTCTCTCTCTCTCTCT